TAGTATTATATTGTATTACGAGGTAATCTAAGGTACTATAGGTGTATTTTGCGGTATTTTTGGACATATTATGGAGTATTATGAAGGTATTATGGGACCAATGTACGGAGTATTATGCAAGTTGGAGACTCCTCGCTATAATCATGATAACTCAGGAAATGATTGAGGATGGTTCCAATATATAGTTTATAAAAATATATTTGAAAAACATTCAATTTGACACCAATGAACCTGCAAAGCAAATTGCAAAAGTGTTCTCCGCACGAAACAGTTTGCACTAGGCGTTCCCTCTAGACCAGTTCCTCCTCTACATCGTCACACCGCCCGCACAGCACCTGGGCCCAGGGGAGCACCCGCCGCACCTCGGCGCGCTGCATGCTGCAGGCGGCCGGCTCGTGGCTGCACCTGTACCTCCTGAGCACGAGCCAGCTGAGCGCCCGCAGCCCGCTCTGCTCCAGCAGCGAGTCCAGGTCGCCGCAGTTGACTGGCCACCCTTCGCTCCCCGGCGTGCCCACCCCCAGGTGCAGCACCCCCAACGTGCGGCTGTGCGCCCGCAGCAGGGTCTCTGTCGTGGAGCGAGCTAGGTTGTGCGTCGCGAGCCACCGCAGACCGGCGTGACCCGGCGGTAGCGCGGGCAACTCGAGGGGCCGGGTGGGCACGACGTCGTCACCACCCCACACCGTCAGCCTCGTCAGCCGCGGCATGGCGTGCACCCTGAGCAGGTGGACCTCGAGGGGGTTGAGCACGAACAACCGCTCCAACGTGGGCGCGACGCGCTGCAGCAGCTGGAGGCTCCAGGCGGGGTCGTGGTCGCAGTTCAAGTCGACCAGCCGGGTCAGCTGTTGCAGAACACAGTCAGTATCAGGGGGGTGCGCTGAGGCTTACGGCCGACCCGCGCTCTCACTCACCCCCAACGCCTCTGCGAGGAGGGCCGCCTTGTCTTGCTGCCGGGCACTGGGTCCGTAGAGACTGATAACCTCCACACTCATTTCTTGCTGCGAAGGGGCACTACCTCCCCACCATGGTAGGAGACACGGGGTGGCAGCGGTCGGTGGCAGCGGAAATTTAAACGTGGACTCTGCTGGAGGGCTCGCGGCGGCGAGCGGTGACCCCGCATCCCCGCAGGGGTTTGGTGCGGGGCTGTAGGCGGGTGGGTCCTGTGACTCAACGCGCCTCTGTGACATCCGAAAGTATTACTGTAGGGCTGTACTATGCGTATCCACAGGAGTATGTGAATGGATACACCGTATCTCCAAGAGCAAAAAATGTACCCTTTTCTCGGCGTGGACTTCTTCGCCCAGTCCCAGCAGCGGGGCGTGGCGGCGGCGCGGCAGTCCGAGCACCAGTCGCGGGGTGGGACTGTCGACGGGAACCCCAAAGACACTTTCTCAGGTTCTGCCTTCGGAGCTGTCAGTGTCATGACTCAGTCAGAACAGTTCTAGATAAGGTGCTCATACCTGCCCGAATGCTCCATCAGCTGAAGGAGAGTGAAGTTGTTGGGTAGTGTATCGGGTTCGTTAAAGAAGTACTGGAAAACAAATTGTTTTTTGTATACGTATGATGGACAAATCGCTTCACAACACCTGTCGGACAATTGGTTGGGTTTGGAGATCTTGCAAAATCCTCGTTGACTGCCCCGGACTCACCCTGAAGCACGTCGGGCACTGTCTCCTGACGCTCTGCCGGAGGCACCGCAGACACACGGTGTGCCCGCACGGCACAATCTTGGGCACGCGCTCCGCCTGGTCGTAGTCCTCGAGGCAGTTGTCGCAGTCCATAAGGGTCATGTTGGCTGCCGGTGCTGCTTGTCCGTCCTGCTGCTGCCGAGTAACGCTGTGTGCGCAATTGGGCATGCTACTACCGTGGCACGCCAGTGATAGCGATGCACAGATACGAACCACTTCGCGTGCCCGGTGCTCAATGAGTAAAAAGATTAACCACTTACGACGACCTGCCTAGTAGGTGTCCAAGGCCCTGCGAGCTACCCCGAAGGGAGAGAGAGGGGGCAGAGCTGGGAGCGAGCTTTATTGTAAATGGGAAGGAAGAGCGTATAGTAAAGAGATTTCGGAGTGAGGGCGGAGCTTTTCCGCATTAAGCGGGTACGCGACTCGAGGTTGGATCATAAATTTGTGTTGTACTATTGACTAGAATAGTTTGTAATCATGATAACTCAGGTAATGATTGAGGCTGATTTAATATGAAGCTTATAAAAATATATTTGAAAAACATTTAATTACACACCAATGAACATGCAACGCAGATGACAATAGTATTCTCCGCACGAAACAGTTTGCCCAAAGCGCACCGCTAGACATGTTCCTCCTCTACATCGTCACACCTTCCGCACAGCACCTGGGCCCAGGGCAGCACCCGCCGCACCTCGGCGCGCTGCTTGCTGCAGGCGGCCGGCTCGTGGCTGCACCTGTACCTCCTGAGCACGAGCCAGCTGAGCGCCCGCAGCCCGCTCTGCTCCAGCAGCGAGTCCAGGTCGTTACAACTCACTGGCCACCCTTCACTGCCGGCCGTGCCCACCCCCAGCTCCAGCACCGCCAGCGTGCGGCTATGCACCCGCAGCAGGGCCTTTGTCGTGGAGCGGGCTACGTTGTACGTCGCAAGCCACCGCAGACCGACGTGTCCCGGCGGCAGCGCGGGCAGCTCGAAGGGCTGGGCGGGCACGACGTCGTCACCACCCCACACCGTCAGCCTCGTCAGCCGCGGCATGGCGTGCACCGCGCGCAGATGGGGCTCCGAGCCGCCGCTGCCCAGACTCAGCCGCTCCAACGTGGGCGCGACGCGCTGCAGCAGCTGGAGGCTCCAGGCGGGGTCGTGGTCGCAGTTCAAGTCGACCAGCCGGGTCAGCTGTTGCAGAACACAGTCAGTATCAGGGGGGTGCGCTGAGGCTTACGGCCGACCCGCGACCCGCGCTCACACTCACCCCCGACGCCTCTGCGAGGAGGGCCGCCTTGTCTTGCTGCCGGGCACTAGGTCCGTAGAGGCTGATAACCTCCACACTCAACTCCTGTTGCGAACTTGCCCTTCCCCACCATGGTAGGAGACACGGGATCGCAGCGGTCGGTGGTAGCGGAAAGTTAAACGTGGACTCTGCTGGAGGGCTCGCAGCGACGAGCGGTGACCCCGCATCCCCGCAGGGGTTAGGCGCGGGGCTATAGGCGGGTGGGTCCTGTGACTCAACGCGCCTCTGTAACATCCGGAAGTATAACTGTAGGGCTGTACTATGCGTATCCATAGGAATGTGTGAATGGATACCGGACACCATATCCCCGAGAACAAAAAATATACCCTCTTCTCGGCGTGGACTTCGTCGCCCGGTCCCAACAGCGGGGCGCGGCGGCGGCGCGGCAGTCCGAGCACCAGTCGCGGGGCGGGACTGTCGACGGGAACCCCAAAGACACTTTCTCAAGTTCTGCCTTCGGAGCTGTCAGTGTCATGACTCAGTCAGTACAGTTCTAGATAAGGTGCTCATACCTGCCCGAATGCTCCATCAGCTGAAGAAGAGTGAAGTTGTTGGGAAGTGTATCGGGTTCGTTAAAGAAGTACTGGAAAACAAATTGTTCTTTGTATTCGTATGATGGACAAATCGCTGCACAACACCTGTCGGACGGTCGGTTTGGAGATCTTGCAAAGTCCTCGTTGACTGCGCGCCGGACTCACCCTGCAGCACGTCGGGCACTGTCTCCTGGCGCTCTGCCGGAGGCACCGCAGACACACGGTGTGCCCGCACGGCACGATCTTGGGCACGCGCTCCGCCTGGTCGTAGTCCTCGAGGCAGCTGTCGCAGTCCATGGTGGCGCCGGTGCTTCTGGTCGGTCCTGGTGCGGCCGAGTAGTGCTGTGTGCTCGATTGGGAGTGTAACTGCCTTGGCCGGCTTGTGATAGCGGCTGATACTAGCGATTCACAGATACGGATCTCTTCGCATGCCGGGTCCTCAATGGGCAGCAAGAGTAATCCACGACGACGTGGACGTGTTACTAGGTGTCCAAGGCCTTCGGGTTGTCAATAAACCCAATAAACCATGTGAGTATGGGAGGGGGGGGGGACTGGTCTTGCCTAACATTGTTTAGAATAGTTCGGTCCCAGATCATCCAATCCAAAACTGAAGTAGGAAAAGGAAAAACATGTACTTTTTCCATCTCATACCATATCATATTTGCTTCCAAATCAGGAGGAGATTAATCAGGGGGTATCTCTATGGCATTTTAGGTATGAGAAACTGTTAGATAAGTTTCAAGCCCCCCCCCCCCCCCATCCCCCTCCTTAGTTGGGAGGTTGGAATCGGGACAAACTACCACACCAATTTTTCTCACTGTTCGGGAACAGAAATCGGCGGGTTTGTTCATTTTCACGTCCGCTTTAGATAACCTGGAACAGCCTATTGTGGTTGATTTAGTCTCGTGAGGCGAGTCGTCTCACGGTGAGGCATCCTCATTGAGGCAGTTTGTCTCAGAGGTTTTCAGCCAATCTCAGCCCTCAAAACCTCACCTCACCGTGAGGCGACTCGCCTCACGGGGACTAAATCCACCATTTTTTATCGCGTGCTGTTATAGAGAGATATCTACCCGGTGGCAAGTTTATATCTGCCATGTGCTTTGGCAGAGTGGAAAGCGCTTTGCCGGCGCTCTGGGCTTTCACCGCGGGCTCGGCGACGACGCAATCCTCTCTGGGTCGGCGGCGTGACGAAAGGAAGAAGAAGCAGGAGGAGGACGACAATCGCGGAAATGCGCGCGACAATAGTTGAGGAACCGAGGAGGAGGAGGAGGAGGAAGGCAAGAAATGCATCAGCGATGGAGGGACGGAACAGTAGTGATGATGAGGGTTGCAATCACGAGGCACATTTATTTCAATTCACTCGCCACGCTGCGCCGCTGCGCCTCGCCTCGCTGATGCTCGACTCGACGGCTCGTCTTGCGTCGCGCCGAAATAAAGCGATTGCTGCTGCGTCTGCAAGTGCAGCGGCGTCGGCGGGTTGCGTCGTCGTAGCCCACTGGCCGTGCAGCGAGTAGCAGGGCCGGCCAAAGTGCCGTGTCGAAGCACTGATGGGGGGGTCCTCCCTCTTACGTGCACCCCCACCATTCCCTCCCCCTTTCTCTCTGTCTTTCCTCAAGACACTTCCGGTATAAGACGGGGGGAGGGGGGACCCACTTCCGTTATCAGGAAGGTCCCCTTACGGGCGGCTGGCTCCGTAAGGGTGGTGGTGGTAGTCGAGTGTGGCGCTGGGAGCGGGGGAGCAGAGGACTTTTCAGCAGAGTACTAGTAGTGGTGGAGGGGCCCCTGAAATCGACTCACTTAGAGCGGGAAGTAAAAGCGAATGGCTGTGCGTAGATAACAGTTGGGCTTTGCCTGCTGCTGTGGCCGGGGCTGGGGCGGGGGGGAGCCGGCTGTGTGCGTCTGGCTGGCCGGGTGCGTTCCCACACACGCTAACTGCCCGGCGTGGTGGTCAGAAACGGTCTAATTTTCACGCGGCCGCCCTAATCGAAAAGGCCCCCACTAGGCCGTGCCACGCCACGCCACGCCGCCGCCTTAGGGCTTCAGAGCCGGGCCCGGGGCAGCCGCGGGGGCGGGGCGGGGCGGGGCGGCCGGTTCGAACCAGAGGCCGCTGCCGCACCGGAGCAGCCTATTAGTCGGAACAAATAATCCAGTTATGCTTTTCCTGCCCCGCCTGTCTGTCTGTCCGTCGAGCCGTGCTGCCTGTCCGACTGTCCGCGCCGGATAGGCCATCCGCCCCGGACGACGTCAACGTCTCCCCGGCCGGGCCGCGCTGTTACTACTGGCTGTCCACACGGCCCCCGGACAGGACAGCTTGCGTCAAGCAAGAAGCGTGACATTTGGAAATGCCAGCGGCGGGGCGGGGCGGGGCTCACCCCGGAAGGGCCGAGGGAGCCACTACTACTGGGCCAGGGGGGCACAGCTCCATAGGGCCCCCGGGCTACCACGCCCCACTCTGATGAACTACACCCCTACGGGGACGACTGTCCTGGAGAAGGAGACTGCTTTCCTAGACAAACCAAGTGGAGTGTCTCTCATACGCACAGGCTACTCTTTCAAATTTCAATAAACAAATAATTTGGTCAAAAAAAAAATATTTAAGAAATTATGTTTTGCCTCATGCATTGAGGCAATTTTGTAGTCGTGTAGGGCCTAGTCAGTCCCTTCGCGGTGATGAGGAAGCAAAAGGTGAAGGGCAGAGGAGGGGCCTAACGCATCCGGAGGGGGTGTGGCTCGGATTAACAAATGAGGGGAGGGAGCGGCGCGGAGGGGGAGGAGAAGGGAGTTAGTGATTTACGAGGGGTCAGCTCGTCCGCCCTGGACTGAGCATCGCGCTGCTCTCCGCCTCCCGTGCGAGTGAAACACTGCAATATTTAGATTCAATTATTTGTTAGGAATTTTGTCTATTTGTATTGAAACGTTGCGTTGTGTACTGATTTCCCTTTTCCTTCTCTTATTGCAGGTGAGATTTTGATGCACTACCACCACCAGCACACTGCCTCTTCGTCTTCGTCGGTCTGTTCCTTCTGTTCTTTATTTATTTGTTCTAATTTTTGATAATTCTTTTAAAGAAATATTTAAAAAATATTTTTACGGTGTATCAGCACGCATATGGGCGCGTGTGTGAGAGGCCTAGTACATACCTTTCACTCGCGGTGATAAATGGTCGGTATTTGACGCGCCCTCTCGCTGTATACCGACCGATGCAACGTGTGCCGCCGCCAGCCCGCGCCCATTGGCTATACGATGCAATGAATGGGGAGGTGCGGAGGAGGCCGGAGGAGAGGTCCTGGCCGCCCCACGTCGAAAACTCACTTATGAGGAGCGTTCGAACGGCCTTTCTGTCGGCCTGCTTTGCTTGGGCTCGCTGCTGCTGCTGGGCCCAAATACATAATTCGTTTCTCAATGCTCTCTTCCCCGACCCTCTGTCCCGAGCGGGTGGCCCTGCCTGACAAACACTCTTGCCCCCCTCTCTCTCTCTCTCTCTCTCTTTCTCTGCCCGAGTCGCGGCCGATCTGTTGTTGTTATGTATTGCCGCCCGTAAGGAGACGTTGATGGTGATTGGTGGGGCTTAAGAAGTGACCGCAAAAGGGGGTCGAATACGTATTATCATGACGTTATGTACGATGGGATGGGCACCACGAGCTCATGGCGTTGCCCGTACTGACTGACCAGCTGCTCGCATGGTTGCATAACATCGAGTGATCGAGCCGTCGATATCGCCGGGCGTTATCGATCGGGACGACTCTATTTTTACTACTTTTCAAAAGATTCGAATCGCGTTTCCGTCGACTCACGCGCACTTCTTGGCTGCGACGGCGGCGGCGGCGCTGCTCGCTATCGGGGCGGCCAGGAAACGTCCGCGGAGGCGTGCGCGCGGGGCTGCCCGCTCTCTCACTCTTCCCATCTACTCTCTCACTCTCTTACTCTCACTCTTTTATTTCGGAGGCAAGCTCTTGTCCCGAAGGTTAGCGTGGGCTACTCGAGTAGCAGTTCGGTTAACTTATTCAAAGTGGTGCGTTCGTGCGTGTGGGTATGTGTGTGTGTGTGGGTGGGTGTGTGGGTGGCTGCTTTGCTGCTCCTGGGCCCCCCAGGGGCGTGGGAGAGGGCTGAGATGGATGGGTAGATACCCCCCCCCCCTCCCCCTTCCTCATGCAAATCCTTCTTCCCCCGCGAGGCGGCCCTTTTGCTCGAGGATGCGGTGCGGGGACGTCGCCGCTGCCGCCGCCGCAGCCTCGCCTCGCCTCAAGGTCCTTTCCACCACCCAACCTCTCTGCGCAACCACCCCGTCCTTCACGAGGAGGAGGACGTGCACGGAGGAGGTGGGGGGCCGGCCGGCCGGCGGCGAAGCCCCTCCAAACAGACCGAAAAAGAAAAAGCAAGCAAGTAAGAGGGAAAAGACGCCCGACGGTGTCGTCCTGACCGCGCGGTTGAATTTTTCATGGTGGGTCGGGGTCGCGGGCCGTCGGGTAGGGTCGGGCCGGGCCGAGGCCGCGCCTGTGTGGCCTCCTCCTCCTCTCCTACCTCCTCCTCGCTCCTCCTCTACCTCCTCCTCTACCTCCTCCTCCTCCTCCAGGGAGGGCCTCCTGAGCCGCGGCGGCGGAGCGGAGGAAGCGTCTTCAATCAATACCGAATGCCGTCGCGCCCGCTGCCGCCGCCGCTGCGGAGAGCAAAGGGTAGGTCAAAGGTCGCGGGCAAGGCAAGGAAACCCTTCGCCGCTCTGCGCTCTCCTTGTCGTTCTCTGGCGCTGTCTCTCTCTCTCTCTCTGTAACCCCGGCCCGCGGGCTCGGGTCCCCTGAGACTGAGCTGTTGGTTGGGCCCCTCTCTGCCACGCCCGTGACTCGACAATGCAATGAGTTTGCCCCCCTCCCCCCCCTCCCCTACTCACTTTCCCGCGATGAAATGGGCTATGCGACGGCTTGCGCCGTCGTGGCTCGGTTTGTCTATGAATGAATAGGCAATCTCGGACTTATGCCCCCCACTCTACCCCTTGGAGGGGGGGTCCCGATGCATATTATCGGCTCTGAGCGGCCAGCTCAGGCTCTCCCAGCCCGTGCCTAGCATTACCACGAGCCGCGACGCTCGTCCGGGCCAGACCGGCGCCGCCGCTCCCCGGCCCGGCTAGCCCGCCCGGAGCAGCAGGGAAGGGCCCCTCTCTCCTTCCTTCTCCACCTCCTCCTGCTCCTCCCTGTCCCTCCCGCGTCGGCCGCCCCGCCCAAGGAGGCGCCGCCACGACGCCCTGGCCGCCGTCACTTCCGACGACGTTCTTTCGGGGGGGTTTTATTTTATTATTATTTTGGTGGGCCGGACACGACTTTGCCTGCTATGGGGGCGGACAGGACGCTCGACCGGACGCTCATCGACTTGCTGCTGCTGCTTTTGTGTTTGGGGTGGGGGAGAGGAGGGGGCGTAACCCGGTGCGCATAACCCTCTCCTCCCAC